AAATATATATTCCTTTTAATTATACACTGATTCATTGTTTTTCTTGTTACAGATTTTTAATGTCATGATTTAACGTCATATTAATGTTTATTTCACAAACATTTCTTATAGTGTAGACATATATGCCATTGGTAAAAAACAAACAAACAAACAGGTAATCCACTTCTACTTCCTGGGGTGTGTCATGAGAGGCAAACACCGGCGGGGGAACAACAGAGAGAGGAAGACAACAGCCGCTTAGATTCCTTTCGCTGGAACTGAAAGTTAACTGGAGGTGCGCACTTGGGTTCAATCTGACTCTTTGTGTTGGCTTTTATTTACTTTTTTGTTGGTGCGTTGTTAAACTCCAGGACGCAAAACGGAATAATGGAGGATCAATCTAAAACTGTCCAGTCTGCGTCCCAGGCAGCATCAAACACAGGTAAGGTTCTTTCTTTCTTTCTTTCTTTCTTTCTTTCTTTCTTTCTTTCTTTCTTTCTTTCTTTCTTTCTTTCTTTCTTTCTTTCTTTCTTTCTTTCTTTCTTTCTTTCTAAGAGTTTCTCTTATTATGACTCATACAGAGAAACCAATGACTCTTTCCTTTTCTGAACATAAAACCGTGACCCAGATAAAGCGATCGTGTGCGCACGAGCCCCGGTGTGTGATGTTAGTCCTCGGGTAGAATCTCACACGGCTGTCAATCGGCCGGGTTTCAGTTTTTGATGAGGCTCTTTACTCCACAGCGCAGATAAATCGACGCCTTCAGGGGAGCTGCGACAACTCGCGGCTCCACGTCGTTACGCATGCGCGCAGAGTGTCCACCATATTAAGTTCAATTGGAATTACGTCATGAAAAAACATAGAAATGTAGATCTTCTTCCACTTTCTTTTGTCGGTTCGTGCTCATAAAATTGAACGTGTTTGTGTTAATCTTTCATACCTACTCCAGGCATACGTTGGGTTGATATGTAGCTCTGACTTTTAGTGGAGCTTAAACCCAGATTTCTGGGGCAATTCCTTTATCCCATTAGAGAAGCCTGACTGTGGCTCTTCTGGCTTCACCCCCAAAATCAGAGGACTCTGTGTCCTACGTTGTTCAAGGATATTAGTGAAGTCCAACGAAAAAACGTCCTAAAAACAAACTAATAAATTTAGGTTAACAGTAACCACAACTTCTAGAACTGCCTCTGCATTTGATGAGTGCTGGAGATATGAGCGGCACCTAGTCCTTACACCGCTGACACAAAACACGTAGAAAACTCCATGTAAATGTTTTAAAAATGTGCAATTTGAGATTTATTTTGGTTTGGTTTTGCATCTGCACAGGATTTGTTTCATGCTGAGGTTCAGACATGTTCACGTAAACGAAGCTTTAGAAGCTCCGGACTTTCTGAAATGATAACAATTATTTTTTTATTGCACTGTAAGTGATTAGTAATTGAATGATTGATTCATGTCTCCTAATTTAGTTCAAACTCAGAGGGCCGAGACTGCAGTCACAGCCCAGACTGGAGGTATCATCTTTATGCCCGGGTTCACCGATGTGAACGTTACCAATGGGAATCTAACTCTCACCAATGTGATTAACACATATGGTAAATGTTTCAACTGAACTCATCACATGAACAAAAAATCTCATTTTAAAAAGGCTCCATAAATCACAACAAATGACTATAGAAATATTTACAAGTATAGTATATATCGTATCAGTTTATCATTAAAATATCAGAAAATCTTGTTTTTCAGTCCAGCCTCCTGTCAGAACAAAGGAGTCCAGTGATGTTACTCCCAGTCTCAAAGGTAACGTGCTGTTCATCATATCACTGGTTAGAGGCACAGTTCTTGCTTCTTATGTATGTACTGCAAAAACTTTTAACCTAAATCTACTTTAGAAGTAGCCGAAATTGTTTTGGAACAACATGTGGCTGATGCCATGTTACTAAATAAACCATGCTTTAATTTTTTCAGAAAATATTCAAGGGTGTCAAAATGAACTCAAATCTTATCTTCAGTCTATAACAAAGACACTGTCACAAGGAACAAAGGAGGAGCCATCGTCGACCCCTTAAAAAGCATCTTTACAGAGCTTTACATCACAGAGGGAGGCAGTGGGGAAGTCAATCGCGAACACGAAGTGATTGATTTAGAATGTAAAAGGCATAAAAGTGAGGAGAGGAAAATCCATCTTAATGACATCTTCGAACCGTTATCAGATGAAGAAGAGCAGCCTCAGAAAGTCCTAACCAAGGGGATTGCTGGCATTGGGAAAACAGTAGCTGTACAGAAATTCACTCAGGACTGGGCGGATGGCACAGCCAACCAGAACTTCCACTTCATATTTCCCTTCACATTCAGAGACTTGAATTTGATTCATGACCAAACTTGGTGTCTCCTCGATTTAATACGTGAAAATTTTGAAGAAGTGGAGGAGTTAGAGAAGTCAGACTACGAGAGCTTGAGTATCTTGTTCATTTTTGATGGCTTGGATGAAAGCAAATTCCCTCTGGACTTTAATAGAAATGAGATGTGTCGCAGTGTTACTAAGAAAACAAAAGTAGATGTCATACTAACGAACCTGATAAAAGGGAAACTGCTGCACAAAGCTTCGGTGTGGATCACATGCCGACCCGCTGCAATCAGTAAGATTGATCTCAAATACATCAATAGAGTGACAGAGGTACGAGGCTTTAATGATAAGCAAAAGGAGGAGTACTTTCTGAAAATAATACGAGACAAAAGTATGGCTCAAAATATCTACAATCATCTTTATTCACTGAGGAGTCTTTACATTATGTGCCACATCCCCATATTCTGTTGGATTTCGGCCATGGCTCTTCAAAGCCTCCTCAAAGTCAAAGGTGAGACCGAGTTGCCCAAGACTCTGACTGGAATGTACACACACTTCCTGATCATCCAGACGAAGGTGACAGGAGAAAAGGATTACCAGCCAGGTGACACCAGCAAAGACATGATCATGAAGTTGGGAAAATTAGCGTTCGAACAGTTAGGAAAGCGCAACATAATCTTCTACGAAAAAGATCTGGCCGATTGTGACATTGATCTGAAACAAGCTACAGTTCATTCGGGAGTTTGTACGCAGATCATAAAAAAAGAGGATGGCCTTCACACACAAGAGGTTTACTCTTTCATACATTTGACTGTTCAGGAGTTCCTCGCAGCTCTGTATGTGCAAGAAAGGTTCATGATCAGCCGAGAAAATGTCCTGAACCCGGAAACCGTGAAAGTGATGTCAGAGCAGGGAAAGATTCCCGCCATCTTTCTCCATAAGGAAGCAGTAATTAAGGCTTTGGACAGCGATAACGGTCAGTGGGACTTGTTCCTGCGTTTCCTCCTTGGTCTGTCTCAAGATAAAAACCAGAAGCTTCTTCAGAAACTACTTGGACTCACGGAAAAACCTTCACTGAGCACTCGGGAGACCATCAGCTACATTCATGGGAGGATCAAGAAAATGTCCTATACTGACAAGAGTATCAATCTGTTCCACTGTTTGAATGAACTGGGAGACCAGTCGCTCGTGGAGCAGGTCCAAGCGTACCAGAAGTCTGGAGATGTCAGTAACATCTCCCCCTCCCACTGGTCAGCCCTGGCCTTCGTTCTGCTTGTGTCCAGTGAGGACCTCTCCGTCTTCGACCTGAAGAACTATTACATGTCAGATGACGTTCTGGAGAGGCTGCTGCCGGTACTTAAAGCATCAAAGACAGCATTGTAAGGATTTGGTTTCGGCTACTCTTACATTTGTATTGTACGTTTAACTGTAAGAGTTGAGGTTTCAGGTAAAAAAATGTCATAAATTGTCTTTTTGCCTATAGGTTGAGCGAATGCAAGCTCACCGAAAGATGCTGCCAGTATATTTCTGCAGTTCTCAGTGATAAGTCTTCTGCTCTGGAATACTTAGACCTGAGCAAAAACAAATTGCAAGACTCTGGAATGAAACATCTCAGCAATGGCCTAAAAAGTGATTTCTGCAAACTTCAGAAACTCAGGTAACAAAAACATCCATCCATCCATCCACTTTCGTAACTGCTTTTTCCCTGGACAGTCAGACTGGACTGGGAGACTGTACACCCTGGACAGTCTGCCAGTCTATCGCAGGGCCACTCAGAGACACACAAGGACAAACAACCACGCACACTCACATTCACTCCTAAGGGCAATTTGGAATGTCCAATCAACCTAACATGCAGGTTTTGGACGGTGGGAGAAAGCCAGAGAACCCACACAGACACAGGGAGAACATGCAAACTCCACACAGAAAGGTCCTGGTTCCCCGGGGACTCGAACCCAGTACCTTCTTGCTGTGAGATGATGGTGCTAACCACCACAACACCGTGCCACCCGTAACAAAAACAAGAAATACATTTTTCAAGAAATAGGTGACAAGAACACATCTGTGTTAGCTATCTTTTTAACCAAATGCATTTTTACACAGTAGTGTTTATTAAGTGGGGGATTAGAGACTTTGCCAGCTACCAGTGGGTGGGTATAAGGTCAATATCTGATTATCAGAGTAAACATCTGGTCAGTTGCTCCTCCCTGACCTGAGGGTTGTCAGTGTGAGCCTCCTCTCTAACAGGCCGGAGAAAAACTGATCTATTCGTAACTGAAACATACTGTCTGCGGGGACAATTCCTCCCTAAAGACATGCTAGTCAAATGGAAGAAATCCTCAAAGCGATCCCTCCACTAGCCAGTGATACCCCCGATTCTCGTAAGCGGTCCTCCAGGAACTTGCTTGGTGTTTCAGAACATTTTTGAGCTCAGACAAGTTTTTCTTCCTGATGAATTCCTCCCACAGAGTCCAACACTTTTAGCAACAACAAAAACTAGTGCAACATTTATCCACTTGGTACCTATGAGCTGTTTCAGGTGATTCAGAGAACAAAAACTCAGAAAGTTGAATTGCCTTTTTCCTCCAGAATGTAACAGTTGTTGTTACGCGTTTCTTACATTCCCTCCTGTAGTTTGAGAGAATGCAACATTACACATGAAGGAATCCGGTCACTGGCTGAAGGTCTTGCTTCAAATCCCGCTCACCTGACAGAGCTGGATCTCAGCAAAAATGGATTCAGCGACAAAGGAGCGGAGCTGCTTGCAAAGGTTCTCAACAAATGTGACTTGGAAACACTGAGGTGAAACATCTATACTAGTCTTTAAACCAGAATTTAAACGTTCATTTTTTTTGTTAAAGTTAAACGCATTGAGCTCCTGCTGGTGAAGGCGGCTGCTTATGAAATGAACAAAAAAGTTATGTGCTGTCCTTTCTGCAGGCTGAGTGAGTGTGACATTACAGAAAATGGATGCAAAGCTCTGGTGTCAGCTCTCAGATTAAAGCCGTCTCGCCTAAAAAACCTGGATCTGAGCAAGAACAGCTTCAGAAGCTCGGCGGTGACTGAGCTCTCTGACTTCCTGAAGCACCGCGACTGCCATCTGCAGCGATTGTGGTCAGTTTTAAGATGAAAAGTCCCTTTGTCCCATGGATCGATATGTGCTTAGAAGTGTCTTTAGAAAGAGGCAACTACGGAAAAGCTCTGAGTTTTGAGGTTTACGTTTCCCTTTTAATGACTCCCCACAAACACAAAGAGGATGCAGAGAGCTGTTTATTGCCTCATCATATAACTTAACCTTTTCATGAAGACATCTGCTCTGCTGTAAAACACTCATATGAGGTGCCCTCTTATGCTTTATGGTGCGGTAACTTGTTCATATTATTATTTAATATAATTCCAAAACATTATGAAACATTCCCTTTATTTCTCGAGCTTCCTGCTTGAAATTGAAGCTCGATTTTGCTCAATTAAAACCTGTTACTTGGTCAATAGTAAGCACCCCCAGTTGGTTAGGTTTAACATAAGTTTATTGAGCCGAAAGACAAAACAAAAACAAAAATTAACTCAGATACATCTCTGTTGTGTTCAGGCTTTTTAGAACAAACTTGGAGATGGAAGACACAGCAGCTGTAGCCTCGGCCCTGGCTGAGAACCCTTCCTACATCAAGGAACTGGACCTGGGTGGGAATCGACTTCGTGATGCAGGGGTGACAAAACTTTCCCTCCTGCTGAAGGATCCCAAATGCACAATAGATGTGCTGAGGTGAGAGCCACCTTCTGTTTACAGAAAAAACAATGTCTGAGGATCACAATCTCAGATCAACCCGATACCCTGGTTGCCTTCTTCTACATCTTCTTCTTCTTCATCTTTTCAACTTCTTCTTTCCTCCTAACATCCCTTCTCCTTAGCATCACCCATCTGTCAGGCTTTCTTTCCTTGATATCAGAGACTTCAATCTACTGCTGGGACTAGGTTATTATGGCAGAAGGGTATCTGATGACTGGGTCGAGGTCAAAGTATGTTTGTTGAGCATGACTCACAACACTTGCTCTATTAAAGGGGAAAAGTCCAAAAACGTCTTAAAATGCCCCAATATAATTTTAGATTTAGCATACCTAGCTTAGTCGCATGACTATGAACAAGCAATCCTTAACTTAAAAATCTCATCTCATCTCTCATGTAACACTGAATGAGTGAGAAAAAATAATCCATTTTCTGGTTGAGTGATTCGAAATGCTCAGCCTGTGAATCAGAAGTCGGGTTCTGCTGTTTATGAGCCCCGTTTGTTTTTCGGAACAGACTTGTCGGCTGCCGTTTTGCGGAGGAGGGCTGTGTTGCGCTGGTGTCCAGTCTGAAGTCGAACCCCGCCCACCTCAGAGTCCTGGACCTGGGAAGAAATGACATCAAAGACCGTGGTGCCGAGAACCTTTCCGGGTTCTTGGAAGAGCCACGGTGTCAACTGGAGACCCTGAGGTGCGCACTGAGCCATCACCACAGAACTCCATCCCTGTAGTACACCGAAAACACACCAAGATGTGCAGTCACAGCTTCAGAAAATGAATTCAACGCATTTTTTGGACAACCTGATCAGTTGCTTTCAAAATTGGTGTAAATTAAGACATATATAAAACGAAAAAACCCTAAAACTCTTAAACAATGATCTGCTTTGCTTAAGAAAAAATATCTGTTGTCATCACCATCATCGCCTCAAGCATCAAATGAATTTAATAACACTATTTAAAGAATCGTGCAGAAACACATTCACAGACGGTAATTCCTGTTTAATAACTGCATTTGACTTTTTTCCTCGTAGCCTTCGCTGCTGCTCATTAACAGCGGCCGGCTTTCGGTCTTTGATCGGCCCTCTCAGCCAATCATCGACTCTCAAAGAGCTCGACTTGACATTCAACAAACTCCTGGACCAGGATGTGAAGCTGCTCTGTGACTGGCTGAAAACCCCCCAATGTAGCCTGGAAATACTGAGGTAAGAACTGTCTGTGTTTTTGTGTCAACATGTATCATTCCACCTTAATTATGCTGGAATTCATGGCCGTGCCCGGTTAAAAGGGGCTGAATTCAGAGGCAAGTGAAAAAGAAATTACATCCACTCTCAAATGTAATGTTTTACAATGGCAGGACAGATTATTACCTCAGTCTGTAATATTCAGTTTATCTAAATGAAATGATGAAAAATGAATATAAAAAATGCCTGCTAGGACTTTGTTTGAATGTGAAATGTCGTTGTGAAAAATTATTCCTATACTGTGTCGTTTATTGCTTCAAATTGTCCTTTAAATCATTAATGGAGTCGCATTTTGACAAATCATTGTGTTTTTTAGGTTGTCAGATTGCTCGGAGGTTGGCTGTGAAGCGCTGGCCTTAGCTCTGATGTCAAAACATTCCCACCTGAGGGAGTTGGAGCTCAGCAGGAGTCGACCAGGGGAGGCAGGCCTGAGGCTGCTGGAGGATTTACGGAAAACATTACAGAAGCTGACCGTGACTGAATGATCACGTGACACTACATCTCCTGCCATATTCAAATGTATTCCACTTACAAATCAAACCTCTTTAAATACAGAACTTGATTGTGATTGGTCTTTGTTTTCTTGTTGTCCATATTAATATGCTGAAAGGTTAATAAGCCAAAAGTGTTCACTGATCCAGCTGTTACAGATCTATAAGATTTAAATGCTGAGGAATTATATTACTGACAGTGTTACTGCAAAGCTGTTCAAATATTTAATAGAATAACTGATTCTCTTTAACATTCTGCTAAAAGAATTTGCTAAAAGACATTTGTACAGATTATAATTGGTCATTATTAGAGGACGTGAACCTACCTAAACCATTTCCAAATTTGGTTTACTATGTAAATAGTATAGGTTAGGTTGACAATGCAAAAGGGTTCTTATTTGTTTTCAGTACACTGGAATAGCTCTACATCAGGTGCTGACCAGCGATGGAGTGAGATATTCCTTTCAATTCCTTTCTTATGAGTCCATCGAAATGTTGTTCACAATAAATAAAGTACACGTACAGTACATACACAAAATTAAATGTTTTACAAATAACTGAAAAGCGCTCACAATTTGAGTGGATACAACATAATACATCACTACCTGTGATGTATTATGTGATGTACTACCGAGCTGTGAGTATCAGCAATGATAACTCTAATAAAAATAAAAACGGGTAAACGTTTGGTGTCAAACTTTTATAAAACAATCCCTGAGATGTATGGAAAAAACCTTTCTTCTTTATTTGGCTGTCATTCAGATGCACAGAATAATTTGCTCTCATTTCTGTGAGGATAAAAATACTCTTAGGTCAAAAATAATCTATTGAATCTACATGAAGCCTGACTAACCTTACAGCTGTTCTAAGCCTGCTGTGTCCACTTTCGCTTTGACAAACAGGGTGTCGTCTTTGAGGTACGCCGCATTTTGGGGATTCTCCAGGACGCTGAAGGGAACGAAGCATGGGAACCCGACCGCCACGTTGCTGGCGGCCCCGGGGGTGGGCTGCTGGAAGCACTTGTTGGCCGGGTCGGGCCTGAAGCTGAGGCTCTGGTGGTTTCTGGCCCCGCTCTGATCCAGAACGGACAGAGACACGGTTTGCCTGAAAGGCCAGGGCAGCAGCGCGTCAAAGTCTCCCGGCATGAGAACCACGTACAGGGACAGGTGAGATCCCCGCCCCTCCCCGTCCCCGTTCAGGTAGGCCTTGACGGCCATTTTGTAGCCGCAGCGTCCGGTGTGGAAGGGCACGCTGCTCAGGCACGGCGGCTGGCCCCTGGTTTCCGCTTCCCTCCGTTTCCTGAAGTCCTCGATCTTCCAGATGAGCTTCCCGTCGTAAGAAGTCACCTCCAGCTCTTGTAGGTGCTGCTTGTTGAGATTGAGCTGAGTGGCGTGAAGATCTAGGAGATCCGAGTGACGCTTCAGGTTGTCCTCTAAAGATCCTGGATCAGAAAAAACACCAGCATCAATCCCATAAAAGCCGTGTTTTGAGGTAAAATGGACTCTATGGTATTCAAAATATAAAGGCAATATAAAGGGAAAACACTGTGAAACAAGTATTCAGTATTCAACCAGTGTTCATGGAAAAATTGCGTTTTGTGGAAAGATAGAAAATGTATGAACACAAATAATGGATAAGTTTTGGACACATGATGATGTAACCCAGTTGACAAATGCATATTGAAAAGGGAAAATAATAATAATAATAAAAAAAAGTACCAAATTGTAACTGTCACAGTAAAAGTACTGCTATATCAAATACTTATAAATCATGTTTTTTAACAATTACAACCCATCATTCATGAATTGCTCATCAGAATTAACAGTATTTATTTTCCCATTTCACTATTTATGTTTTTTAACCATCTATTTATTTTACCTTTTCAATTTACATTTGTCAACCGGGTTACAATGAGATTACAAACAAACTCACCATGGAGAGCATGTTTATGTTTATGTTTATGTTTATGCATTTGGCAGACGCTTTTATCCAAAGCGACTTACAGAGTAGACACAATATTACATTTCTCATCACAATGACAATAAACTTTATAGAACAGAAACACTGATCAGAGTCAGTGGTGAGATAGAGATAGAGGTAGAGGGGCTACAGAAGGAGCTGTGGGGGGGGTAGAGGTACGGGTTAGGGTTAGGATAGGAGATGCTCTTTGAAGAGGTGGGTCTTCAAGAGTTTCTTGAAAACAGACAGGGACTCTGCTGTTCTTGTGGAGCTTGGTAGGTCGTTCCACCATCTTGGAACGACACATGCAAGATGGTGGAACGACCAGGTCAGTGTTAGGTCAGTGTTTAAAAAAAATCTAATTATGAAGAATAAAATAAAATTGAAATCATTTTAGAAGGACTAAGATGTCATAACTTTTAACCTGAGAACATAAAAACAGGCCTATGTCCAGTTGCTTTATGGAGCACACTTTGAGGAAAAGGTATCAGATCAGACTTTAATAATGCTGTTTAACAAATAATTAAACCCGGATATGAATGAAAGTGTACGGTGAAAAGCCAAAGCCAACATTGGTAACAGTTATTCCTTTTCACCATACAAAACATTTTCAGAATATTCTATAGCGTCAAAAGGATTTTGCACGAAACAACCACTGTCTGGTTGTTATGGTGATTCACCGCGAGCCGTTTCTTTAAAAAAAACTGTTTTCCAACCTTTCAGCTTTTGTTACCTATGTGCTCTCTGAGGGCCTCGGCCGCCAACACTTCCTGCATCACCGCATCCAGGGACTTTCTGAGCTGCTCTAGGTCCCCCACACCAGGAGCCAGGCCTGTGGACACCTGCTGGACGTCCAGCTGCACTGAGGACAGGATGTCCTCCTGTCTGCTCAGAGTCCTCTGAAAAGAGACGGGAACACACACACACACATCCGGCATGAGGAGGTGGCCGGATTTTGGGCATTTCCCCCGCAGCCACCTGTCCAGCTTCCTTTGCCCTCGATGTGAACTACCCATTATTTATTATTTTAAATATCCAAGTCCCACTTTGGCCAATGGTAGCAACAGAGCAAGTACAGTAGAACCTCTACATGCAAGTTTAATTCGTTCAGATATTCCCAGAATGGTTCAAATATTCCCAAAAGAATACTCTGTAATTTGTATAATTCGTTCCACGGCCCATAAACCGACGATTACTCCTTGATAAATACTGCAGATAATTACACATAACAATAAAAAAATGCATCATATAAGAGAGATGTAAAAAGAAATTAATTATAAAGAAATAATCAATAAAAAGTTTTTTTTTTGGCACTTATTGGCGAACGGAGATAGAGGTGACTGAGAAACAGGATGTGGTAACTTAATCTAACTTTCACTACGTGGACTTTAAACTAACTTAGCTTATTTTTTTAATTTTTTTTTTAGATTTTTTCAATTACTTTGATGTCATATATCGGAAATGTACTTGTCGAGTTGAATATTTGATCGAATTTAACTTCGGATGCTTGAAAATTCGTATGTTTAGGCAATCGTTAGTAGAGATTATACTGTATGTGAGAGCAGGGAGATGCTGGTTACATTAATCATTGCAGAAGAAGGAACGTCAAGTAGCAAACAACATATTCACATAGTAAGAATAACTGGCTCCAATCTGTAACATGCTCTATGTACAATTGCTTTAAAAGCAGGCTCCAACCCCTCCATGAACCTGAGCTGTCCGAAATCCAGTGTGTGTAGAAGAACACAACAAACAGCTGCACTTTCTACTCCAGCCGTGGATAAAATTGGTGTGGGGGCGCCGACTGACCTGAGCGGCGGACAGCGTGCGGCTATTGCTGCTGCTCTCCTGGACCAGGGGCCGGACCTGCTTCTGCAGGGAGGCAAGCAGTAGGCCGTCCGTCTGGCTGTCCCGCTGCCTCAGCAGGGCCTTCTCCTGAAGAAGCTCCACCTGACAGAGGACACAGCAGAATGAGGGAAACACGCTTTCGAACGATAGATAGATAGATAGATAGATAGATAGATAGATAGATAGATAGAT